CTTACTAGGCTTGTCATCACATTCTTGTGAACACAAGACCTTAGTGCAAAAAATGACCATTAAGTGTTACGATTTCAGTGTGTTCATCGTGATCTTGCTGCTCGTAATGTTCTTGTTGGTGAAAATAAAATCTGCAAGATATCAGATCTTGGACTTGCAAGGAGAATCAGAGAGGACGTCTACACCAGAACAAAAGCAGTGAGTATGGAAATAATACAAACTTCTATGTGGAATATGTTATGAATGTGTCAGATCTCGGCGGTGTCTTTAACAGTTTCTGTCTTCAAGTTAAACATGTTTGATGAAGAAAGGCCAGTGGTTATTTAAACTGCACAACTAATAGCAACAGGAACTCAGCGACGCTTTTTAAGGCTGATCAAGATTTTGTCTTTGTTATCTCCTCAAGGCTCGATTACCAGTGAAGTGGATGCCACCTGAGTCACTTTTCCATGGGGAGTCGTCCATTGCTAGCGATGTGTAAGAAAATATGGCATTTCATTGATATACTGATTGTTTCTTGATGATACAAATAAATAAAATTAATGTCATCTATCTTTTTATGTTTTTATAAAATGATTTTCAGGTGGTCTTATGGAGTTGTTTTATGGGAAATATTTACTCTAGGTAAGTTTTGGTTTCAAAGCTATTCAAATATGAAATAAATGACTAATACTAAGCTCTAAAGAGGTAACATCTCTAATCATAATGTAAAATTGATTTGTATGTCTTCAACCAGGTGATTCTCCTTATCCTAAATACAACGGGAAAGACATGCCAAGACTGCTGCAGCAAGGCTACAGGATGCCAAAGCCACTCCATCTATCGGAGTCTCTGTGAGTTGAATTCACCTTTTTCATACTTCACGTATCACTCTTAACTTATCAGAGTTTTTTCTAAAGAAATCCTGAAGATGACATTACCATAAGTTTACCATGCATGTGCTCATGAACGTTTTTTAGTTCCATGGATCTCAAGATGGATGGCATCAATCATAGACATGATTTTTACATAGTGTAAATATAATTCTCATGTGCCAAGAATTGGTCAATGCTTAAAAAATTGATATGCATGTAGTTATCAGCCCATAGAGGAAGCAGTTAATTGGAAATGCGCTCATTCGTGACAAACAGGCAGTTGTCTCACTCATGGGCCACGAACTCAGCCATAACTAGATTAAGCATGTGTCACAATTATAAGATTCACAAGGCATGACTCAATAGTCAGCTAACAATTTACATACTATTGTCATACTTTCTTCATATTATTTCAGATACTCGATGATGTTAAGATGCTGGCAAGACAAACCCGAGGACAGACCTTCCTTTACCACGATATGTGATGAAGTCAACCAATACTATAACACAACCAAGGTGTGTTTCCTTGATTATACAAGAKCAAGTGAAGATTATATAAAATCGCAGAGTGTACATTTTAACAATTTGTGCCAAACAACTAACCCTCGGTTTCATTTTTATCTCAATAAAGAGCTCTAGTTAAAAACCCCTCACACAAATCAATGCGACTCGAAGCATAACGATTTTTGTATAAAGAACTAAAATTTGCTTTTTGTTYCAGGATTATATCAACCTTGACGTGTTTGAAGATGCTTTGTACGTCAACTTCGATGTCCTTTAAAAATAAATGGACGGCTTGCAGAAAGTTTGGCCTCATGGAGCATCATCTCATTGCACACTCATGGAAAATTTGTAGAATAATTTTCAAAACACGAAAATAGCTAGACTGACCTTGACTGCTTTTTCGATGAGAACTACTCGCCATCACAATAACATCTTGCGATCCCAGATTCAGTCGTAATGAAATCCTAATAAGTTTAACATCACTGTAATTGCAGCTTTCCTTCTAAGCTGCAAGAAATTAAACTTAAAGTGTATACAGTATATAGTATGATTGAGTAGCAAACTCGAGTTCACGCATATGTGACATACAAAATTTTTTTACGGTATTCCGTCAGCTTCAAATCAAACATATCAAAGATGACATATATATTATTTTACGTATTTGATAATACACAAAGGAAATCTTACCTCTTCATTAATTGGTCTCATGCATTTCTTCAGTCATTTCTCACTTTATCCAATCATAACTCTGTTCTCCTTGTATCTCACGCCTTAACCACATATCTATACAAGTCATGGGTTTCCTGTGCTACGGAAATAACAGCAATGCATAACAAGCTTCCGGGTAAATCACCGTACAGTAAGAGCTCGTTTCTTCATATATAACGGATCCTTACGAAAGCTGAAAGCTATCGAGGATAGTGTAGAATAATTGCTTTATGTTATACATTCGATCAATCTGTTTTGAAAATCAGAAACAGTCTTGAAAGAATAATTTGAGGTAGGTCAATATGTCTTGTAATTAAATAAAATCAAACTAAATACTAACAAATAGCGGCTATTTAATTCTTCTTTATTGCTTTCTGGTTAATTGATACTGACAATTTGTTTCTAAATAGCCACTATTTCTTAGTATTTAGGTTGATTTTATATCATAGTTTTCCTGCGTTTGCTATAGTGAAATATCGAATAAAAGGGTAAATGAGCCAGTAGTTAACTGAATGAATAAAGAGATACGATAAATGTAACTTATAACTGACTAGTTTCAGAAATAGCTCAATAATGTAAATGTTTTTTCAGTTGTTTGCTACCATGGAGTGCATGCGTACTTCAAGCTTTATTCTTGTATTTGTCTTCGTGGCATGTAGTAAAGCTGGAAAAGGTATGCATTACAAATTTAAAAAAGGTTATTTAGAATGTACGGCGCAATGGATTTAAAGGTGCTGCATCAAAAGTGGATATATGTCATATATGCTCTTCTGATAGCCTTTTTACTCGTGGGCAATGTGTGAATTACTTGATGAAGTGTTAGTTGTATCACTGAATTATTGCATTAGACCTAATTACTTATAGCCATTTCTTTATACTAGAAACTATTATTGAAGTGCCGTATAAGAGTTCACAGTCTAAATGGATATGGGCCTGGACAAGTAATCGGGTAAAATGTCAGAAAGTTACACTGAAATATTTTATCGCCACGGTTTTGATAAATGAAGTATTGTCCAAGTATAGTTACAAAAATACTTTTTTTCGAATTTTTCGGATTGGTTTAAATATCCTTAAAGCGCATCGAAAAAGTAGCTATCTACCAAATTTCTGTGCCCTAGTGCCATTTATAGCCGAGATACAAGCGATGTTATGGTCGGGTGACCACATACAAACGCATGAAATGGCTTGTATCTCCGCTATAAATGGCACTAAGACACTCATATATAACAAGGATGCGTTAAAACTGATGCACTTTCAGAATATGGAGGTCAAATTTGAAAACTCAAAAATTTTCGTCTTGTGACGTCATCACTTGAGTACTCTATTCTTAGCAAATGCTAACACAAGAGAATGTCCGACATCATTGAGAAAAAAAACATGTGTAGAAATTAGAATTATCTGAAAAGCTACTTGGTATTTAATCAAATAAAGTATAAAACAAGAGCTTACTTCCGTTTGAAATGGGCAGCGGGTTCCTCGGAGAAACAAGTGGTTGCCACAAAATAATAATTATAATCAGAAATAGCAATTTTTTTCCAGGAAACAAAAACTTTCCACAAAATGCGTTATTTGAGAAATCAAAATTGTGTAGCACTGTCAAACAAACAGTTACCCATGCCCACAAAAAAAAAAATTGGTGTTAAAAATGGTTAACTCCATATTATACTTATAAGAAATAAGGTTATTATGAGCTTATCCTTATTTTCATAGTGGACTAGAAAAACAGATGGACATGGTAAAGTGGTTTATCAAGTATGTGATATAATCCCATTCAGTGAACCAAACATGTGGATAAGAAGCGATGTGTTCCCGATCGATGATGCAAGAAGAATTGATGTAACTGTTGAATATGCAGTTTATAAATGTTCTAGTGGGCATGTTAAGTACTGCAAGGAAAATTTAAACCTTTATGTTTATAAGACTGCAATAAAGCATACAACTGGCGCCGGTAACAATATGATACTCCCGGAACCTTGGAGAAAACCCGAAGTCTATCATATATTCGGAACCACATCTCCAACAAACCTGAGCACAGATAGCCTGTCTAGAAATTTCACGAATACTGAGACATATTCATTTCTTACAAATTCTTCAACACCCTACCATTATCTCGCCATACAATATCGAGGAGGATGTTTTGAGCTATACCTTGTCACCATAAGTTACTCGGTGTGTCCATCATTGATTCTTCCTACTAATCTCATCAAATTGCCACGAACTATAGCCCCAGCTAACGGTACAATTCGGGTACCAGGGTCATGTGCAGAGAATAGTCAGCCATCGGCTGGCAATGCTACCTTATATCAACACTGTCAAGCAAATGGTGAATGGATCAGTGATGCATTAAGTGTCGGGTGTTTGTGTAAAGCTGGTTATGGAAGGTACTTGAATGGATCTGGTGCAGTGTGCAAAGGTTTGCTACTTTAGTCTTTCTTTCAAAGTCCTCATTACTTAATAGTAATTTTCAGCCTGAGCAATTTTAAATACATGGTTTATCTATATTCAACATCATTACAACATCATCTTCATATGGCAAATAATCGTCACTGATCGCATTTACTATTGAAATAATAACCATGTATTTACAATAAAACGCTTCCTTCAAGGTGTCGCTCTTTACCACGCAACATTATACGATGCCTGTTCATATCGCTTCAAAAACTCATACATAATTAATGAGTTATTAGGCCAATAGAATCAGCCTATTTGGTCACATGCATGGACCTTTATATCTGATAAAACACTCCTTATTAGTATTCTTTATATAAAGAATACTAATAAGGGTGACTTTTATCAGATATAAAGGTCCATGACCCTAGCAAAGGTCTCAGGTTTGAAACCTGATCATTGACCAATGCAGGATGTCAACCGATTGCAGTGAGCAGCCAAGAGCGGTTCTATTTTACTTTATGCGTATTCAATGTGGGATGACAACAGTGCTTTTTAAAGTGATGATCAGTTTGCCCTATTTATCTCAGAACATATTTGTACGTCAATTTCTCCAAGAATTTTAACGGATTTGAGTTTCAAATTAGTGTTGGAGTTTTTGAAGCCGTTTTTAAAAAA